AATAATAAACCAATAAGCTCAATCTTATCCCACATTAGGAAAATACAAATTGAAACCACATGCTCACTAGAATGCCTAAAATTAAAAACAAATTATTAAACGTAAAACTCTCATAATTCTGATGAGAGTGTAAAATCATACAATCACTTTGAAAAAAAGTCCTGTAAGGGCTGGCCAGACAGCTCAGTGGACTAAAGTGCCTGCTCAGGCAGAGCACACTGGATGAGTTCCATCCCCAGCCTGCAGTGCTGGCCCCTGCCCCCAGGGGCACACTGAGAAGGCAACTGAGACCAGGGATGGTGGTGTGTACTGTAATCCCAGTGCTTGGGAGACTGAAAACAAGAGGATCAGTACAAGTGGAATCTGTATAGTGAGACCCTGTAGACCCTATACTAAATACGTAAATTTTTTTTGAAAAAAGTCTTGTAGGTTTTTACAAGTTGAGCATGCAATAAGCACTTCCCTAGCAAGCACAAGGACCTGAGTTCAATCCCCAGTTCTGGAAAAAAAAAAAAAGTGTGCATTATTATGTAATCCAATTCTCTCCCTCAGTTTTTTGCCTGAGTCATAAAAGTGTATATCCAGCCAGGGGTGATGGTACACATCTATAATTCCAACACTTGGGAGGCTGAGGCAGAAGGATCATTGAGAGTTTGAAACCAACCTGGGCTACAAAGTGAGCTCAAGGCCAGCCTGAACTGTGTAATGAAACCCTATCTCAAAAAAAGATTTTTAAAAAAGCATGTCCAAAATGATGTGCATATAAATACTTATAACTACTTTGTACATAATTGTCAAAAACTGAAAACATATAAATGCCTACTACTACTATATCCATATAATGAAATATTCCTCAATAATAAGAAGAAACAAGCTACCAATATCCACAAATTCATGGAGTACTCCTCAGGAACAGCAAGGAGGGGAAAAAACAGGTATAAAGAAGTACATACATTATGACTCGACATATATGAAACTCTAGAAAACACCTACACTGACAAAAGAGAGATCTTTGAATCCTTGGATGGAAATGGAGGGCTTAACTGGGAAGGGACTGAAGCAGACTTCCTGGTGGTGGTCAAAAGGCTCTGGATCCTGATTAGCAACATGGCTTCATACGTAGGCATGGGTGGGCTTTTGTCAAAACTTATTAAAAACATACAATTAAAAAGGGGTAATAAATAAAGGAGCATCCTATGTAACATAAATTTCACTTTAATACATTTATTCTTTAAAGTTCTTAACATGATAGACTGCTCGTCTAGCATGTGCAAGGCCCTGGGTTTGATCCTCAGCTAAATAAATAATAAATAAATAAATAAATAACCTTGATTTCATCAAAATAAGTTACATGAAAAAACTTTGAAAAATATACCTGGACACAATAGAAGAATCCTATTCAAAGCTAACAGAGTGTAACTACAGTATATAAAATAGGTATGATAAATAGCTTCCCAAAGGCAATAATCTATGGAACAGTATTAAATCAAGAGATCAGGTGCTCACACTTGCACCTGTTCACAAATCTGAAACTATACTGAGTTCCCCAAATTATACTCCTTTACTAGGAGAACCAGAAGCTTTCTTTAAACATTTCTGGGCCTTTTTTCCTTTACACATGCCACTAAGATCTTTTCTTTTACTTAAATAATAGTAAGTTTTTCTCTAACACAGAAGTCTTCCCTGCCCCTTGCCACTTCACCTAATGAGTTTTACACCTTAGCTTTGCTTTCTTATGGAGGTCATGGCCACAATCATGTTAGTCATTCTAATGCCCCTCATATGTGTGATTTTATGAAAGAAATTTGTCTCTGCCTGAGATGCTTCATGGAGCTTTTTACTTCCTCATTCCTCAAGGTATAGATGAGAGGATTCAGCAAAGGGGTGACCACTGTGTAGAAGACAGACACCACCTTGTCAATGGAGAGGCTGGTGTCTGGGCGTGTGTAGATGAAGATACACGGCCCAAAGAACAGGGCAACCACCATGAAGTGGGCTGAGCAGGTAGACAGGGCTTTCCTGCGCCCTTCAGCTGACTGCTTACGGAGAGAAACCAGGATGACCGTGTAGGACACAACCAAGGCCAGGAAGCAGGTAAGAGAGATGGTTCCACTATTGGACACAATCAGCATCCCTGTGAGGTATGTATCCGTGCAGGCCAGCTTGATGACAGGAGGCACATCACAGAAGTAGCTGTCAATAACGTTGGGGCCACAGTAGGGCAGACGAATGGTCAAGAAGGTCTGCACTAATGAGTGAACAGTGCCCCCAAGCCAGAGAGCAAACACAAGCTGCACACAAACTCTCATTTTCATCACACTGGGATAGTGTAATGGAGTACAGATGGCTACATAACGATCATAAGCCATCACAGTCAGCAGAAAGATCTCAGCACAGGCAAAAAGATGAAGGAAGAACAGCTGTGCAATGCAGTTGTTAAAGGATATGGTCTTCCTCTCTAATAACAAACCTTCCAGCATCTTGGGCACAGTGACCGATGAGTGGCAAATGTCAATAAAAGACAGATTGCTCAGGAAGAAGTACATGGGAGTGTGGAGGTGCTCAGTAAGCTGTATGGTAACAACGATGAGAAGGTTCCCCAAAAGTGTGAGCATGTAAGTGGCTGAGAACACCATGAAAAATAGCTTCTCCAGCACCCAGTTTTCAGTGAGTCCCAAGAAGACAAACTCAGTCACTCTTGTTTGGTTGTGAGCATCCATCTAATATGCTCTCCAAAGAACCTTGGAGGGAAATAAAAGTCAATTTATCTATAATGATACATGAATTAAATTAACAAAAGTGACTTTGTATTTCTATCTGAAATACTTATTATAAAAGCTTAAAGAATATAAGGCTAGCTTAGCCACAATGGTCACAGTACCTCATAACATATCTAGAGCCAGGCCAAGTGTTTCTTGTACACCATCCAGTTTTGTTTTGTTTTTTTTTTCAATAGTAGGGATCAAACTTGAGACACTGTACTTGCCAAGCAGGCACTTATGCTGCTGAGCTATGTCCCTGGCCACCATCCAATTTCATTGCAGCCATACAATGCAATGGGCATAACTGCTCTAATCTTGCAGTGAGATCAGTGAGGCTTGACAAGAATAAATGAACTGCCCACAACACTTGCCCCTTTGTTACTTTGCCTCTTTTAGTTTGGACTGATCCACTGATAACATCGAATATTCCAAAAATTCCCAACTAAATTTTTCAATATGAAATTAAATCCCCAACATAATATATTGCTATCAAATTAAATGTACATTCAAAACCTACAATAGTCTGGTATGCTCTTGTTTTTTCTCCATGTGGAGCCCTTTTCTTTTCTTTTTTTTTTTTTTGACTTAAAAAGATTTTATGAGATACAGTATAGTATCAGCATGAAAAATCAATCACAGAACATGTCTGTTTTAGTGAGGAAGACAGTAATTTAAATGTACACTTAAGTTCCTCTTAAGAAGGCCATTCTGCACCCACTAGTCCACAGCATTTACTTATAAAAGTTAAGGAACTTCTCCTAGTTCCAAGCATTGTGGACAAGGTAATGATCAGTATCTCTATCTAAACGATCTGTTTGGTGAAATACATGTAGAACTATACTTAGTCGTCCAGCATGTCTTCATCCAGATTTATATCTGTTGTGTCAATATCTTCTAATTCCAAATTATCCAAATCTACTTCTAGCTCCAGCAAACTCTTTTCTTCTTTGTTGACTGTTTGGGAAGCCACAATAACTGGCGTAGGGGAAGCAGGTTTTTCATCAAGTTCCTGTTGAGCTACAGATCTTGAGGGCTGAAAGCCTTTTGCCTCCTCCATAACATTTCTCTCTTCATTTGGCGTGACAAATGGATACTGTTTGGCTGGCCACAGATCAGCATGTGTTTCCTTCACCCATTCTTCAACAACAAAGGCTTCTTTTAATCCAGGGAAAAGGTTTTCATATTCTGTAGGGTCAGCAAGGGATTCTGCTGCTTTTTGATTGACTTTTGAGAGGTTCTCTCTCCACAGTTTGACTACCCTTGAAACATGACTAGGTAAGTAAGTTCGGGCTAGGAAGGCAGCTTCTGGCAGTCGTCCTGTTCTAATCAAGAGCTCCAAGCAAGCATCAAGCTTGCCCTGTAGAAAGCCTTTTATTTTCTTTGATTTTTCCAGCCACACAATTCACCACACTCCAGGCATGCTGCCTCTACCTACCTATCTGGCAAAATAATAGATAAGTATCTTTATTAGCTAGATTCCTTCATCTTAGGAAACTCATCCCTTAAACAAATGTGTTCTCCTCACTTCATCACTGGAAATTAAAATACTATTCATCTTTCACTTTACCTTTGACTATCTCAAAGAGCACTGTCTTCAAGAAAACTTTGCTGGGGCTACCAAAACTTACCTCTTTCCTTTCATATTTCTTTTGTGGTACTTAACTGTACAATAAGAAGTTTATTTTTAATTCCTTATCAAATTAAAATTGTCTTTAAAGATAATGACTACACATGACTCATCCCTTATGGTACTTAGCAGGTGGCTCACAGAGTAGGTGAGCAACACATTATTTTATTGGAATCCAAACTACATTCTTAGGTAGCCTAAAAAAAGAATGTAACCTTTCCTTAACAAAGGAGCCAATAAGTTTTAGTTGTTTTAATTCTCTCATATGATTTGTTCCTGAGGAGATATTACTGAACAAATACTAAAGTTATATTGCCCCTAACTTTCTAGGCTAATTGGTTGACCAAATACTGTAACAGTTCGGAAAATATCATGAACCAAAAAATGTATCTTGATCAAACTGTTTCATTTGTAGAATCCAATGAAGCATCCAAACTATGGAAAAACTTAAACAAGAAATCATTAATTCTGATATTATTTTAAACAACCTCACAGTCACAGGTTTCATTTGTATCTGGAAGCTTGAATGAATGTAGAGGACTTGGCCACAATTGTTTGCAGATATCAGGCATAATGGTAACAAAAACTTAACAATGAAAAGTTTTGGAATATAGTACATAAATAAGATTTAAAAATTGTTCTTGGGGCCAGGGAGATGGCTCAGTAGAGTAAGCGCTTTCCTGGCAAGCGCAAGGGCCTGAGTTCAATCCCTAGTTCCAC